GTGGTGTGGGAAGGGAGGTGCGGATGGTCAACGTTAACAGAGCTCAACAATATCGCCAGGTTCAACCATCGCGATTGGTTGCTCCCATCCCAACCGTCGACATCAACATCGATGGTGACAACGACGACAGAACCCCGACCCGCGAAGTCGAGCGCGTCGTTATCCACGAAATGCAAGAACTCCACCGCACAACCCCCCGCCTATCCCCAGCACCTCCCGGCCGATCACCCAGATCAAATGTGCTCGCGGGTCTCAAGCTCCAAACCACATTCGACCCCAAACCACCAAAATCCTCCAACAGGAAGAGATCACCCCGACACCACCTCGCTCCCCGCAGCCCAGCACGCCAGTCCGACCTCGAACTGACCACCCCCATCCGCGTCCAACGCACACTCGCCAAGATGGAACTCGAGCTCGTGATTCCCTCCAACAAGCCTAAGCGCGGCGGGTTCATCTATAACTCATGTTCCCCTCTTGCCTCCAAATCGCCACAATCCCAAACTTCATCTCCTTCCACCGTCCAAGGTGCTCAGTCCCCCTCTTCAGACTTTGATTCCCCATCAACAGTCATCATCAACTCCAACTCTAATCCCACCACCACCACCACCACCACCACCACCACCCAATCTCCCTCCTCAGATTCTCCATTATCATCGTCCTCATCATCATCATCAGAAGAGGAAGAACAACACACCGCCCGCCCGCTCGACTCCCCGCGCACCGCCCTGACAGCAACAAGAATCAACATCTGGCTGCAGCCGCCGCACTCATCAGGCAACACCTTGGATGGGATCCTGCACAATGGGAACTCCAGCTCCAGCTCCAGCTCCAGCTCCAACAATCTCGGCTCGCAAAACTCGGACGTCGAAAACGAGTCCGAAGACTCTGACAATGAAAGATTGGAGGTCTCACCCGGTGGGGGCAGGTACAATCGGTTTGGTAACAGATTGGGCCCCCTGACGCCAAATGGGTATGATGATATTAGCCCGATTACCAGGGGGGAGTGGGGGTTTTTGATGGGCGTGGGCGGAGCGGGTGGTGTGGGTGGGCTGGCGAGACGGGCGGGGGTTGAGGCTTTGTGAGTTCAGTTTGGAGTTTTGAAGTTTTGAAGTTTTGATGATTTGCTTTGCAGTGGTTTTGGTTGTGTGTGGCGTGGCGGTATGAAAGGGGGAAATGCCTTTTCACTGGGGATGGTATGATGACTATTTACACTTTTTTTGGCATTCTTACTATCGTTCTTTGATACCATGTTTTGGATACTTGACAATTTTTTGTTTCTAAATATTGGATTGCTGTCATCATCTAAATCGTGAGTTGCAAATGGTCGGTGAAGGAAAGTTGGCACGATTATGGAAGAGATTATAAGTGGTTCTATATCTGAACGCCTCAAGATCACCCGGGCTTGTAGCCACAACCACCATTTCTAGATCGAACCGACGAAAGACCATTTACCAGTTGACAAGTCAGCCTACGCTCCTTCCCTTTACACCGACCCATTGCCCACCAACCTTTATCATTGTTCCCCCTTTTCATTCTTTTTCATTTCTTCTCCGTCTTTTTTCTCCCCATTATTATACGACAAAAAGCAGGAAGTTCCCGCGGTGATGATAGACGCTCTCTTAACATCAACAGCGGCTTGTCTCGGTCAACCACGCGGTTCTCACATGTTGACGATGCCAACAGACAGAACGGCCGGCATGTGAGAAAACGATGCCGGCATCTGCATCCTCATCATCTCATGTGACAATTCATGCTAAAAGTGGTTCTTGTGATTCCTCAAGTTGCATCATGACTCGGGGTATTACCTCGCAGTCCGTCGGAGATTACAAGTCCTGGCTTGACTCACAGTTGCCTTCCAATATCATCTTTTGGAGGTCCATTGTTCTTGTTTGAAATTTCTTCTTTTTCTTTCTTACTCTAGAGTCCAGACGCAGAGGAAGGCAGGTGAGGGTTTGGCAATACAAAAACTTTTATTTTATTCAACTATTCTGTACAGTCTCGGACTGGCTTGTGATGTTTTTTTTACCGTCTTCCAGGAAGATCCTCACAAAGAATTCCCACTTCTCCTAATTCTGCTCAAGTACCCACCCGCTCACTCACCCACATCAATTCCACTCACATGTCCGCTGTGATATCAACCCTCAAGCGACAAGCCGAGTCCTTCTCAATCCGTTGCAGCACTGTAGGTACATGTATGTACCTGCTACACAGCCAACATTTCGGCATCCAGGAACGTAGGTAGGCGCACACTGCGCAAGCATCTGACGCCCGAGAAAGCCCATATGCCCGTCGGTACCTTTCGGAACCTGCAGGACGTTCAAGGACTGTGCATATATGTATGTGTGCATGGAAAATGGGCCGAGCTCGCGTTTCTAGACGTCCGTTCTTGAAAGGAGTCTGAGGACACTCGCTTGTTTCGCCGCAAACTGTTGATGAAAAGAGGATAAAAAAAGATAGAACCGATCCTAACGACCTCGAGAATGGCAAGGGTTTTTTTTCTCCCTTTTGAGGAACAGTTAGGTTAGGCAAAGTTGTAAGGGCATCTTGTCCCTCCCATTGGCAGCAATGCAAGGACCGCACATTGGCAGATCTGGTGGTCTGGGCTTTGGCATGCCGGTACGCCAAAACGTTCGTGTTTATCTAACCACCAAAGTGCTAGAAACAACAACTGCCACCGGCCATCCTGATGCGCTGCACGAAAATCCACGAGCAGATTGCAAAGCACGAGGAGGACAAGGCTCACGGAGAATCATACGAATGTCACAAGCAATGAGACAGAGAGAGAAGGTCATCGTCGGCGTTTTCGGCGTGGCTCAGTGCCAACGCCGCGCCTGAACGTGACAGATGCAGTCAGTGTGCAATTGCGAAAGCTGCAAATGGCATCCTACATCGGCGATGATTGCTTGGTCCTGCTGGGCGGAGGTAAGAAACTTGGTAAGCGCATGCACAGACGCAGTAGCTGCGTGAAGTACATCTTCGCCACAGATAGCAAGCAAGATACTTTAGGTCTGTTAGTGTTCCAGTGGATCTGCTCTCTTGCATGAATATCTTGGTACTGTCATGCAGCAAGAGCCCTGTTTGGGTTTAGTTCTGCCAAGTGTCTATGACGCTGATGGTTCCATTGGTAAGCGACCCTGCCAGCTCTTCATCAGACTTCTGGATACGAGCGGATTGGGCAATTGGATCATGGTCTCATGATCACTCACCATCACCCGTGTTTCTAGCTTGCTGGTCTGGATGTTAGCTCATGAGGAACAGTAAGAGTCACAATACGTTATGGAGAACAGCGATGTTGGTAGGAACATTGTATTAAGCCCGGTCATATTAACTCCTTTACTTTCTCCAAGCCAACAAATGGAAAATCCCATCCATAATCCCATTATCTTCATTTCAGCGTCAAACCATAGCAAAGCGTCGAAACACCCTTTCTGGGTAGGGAATCTTTTGAAACAAAAAGCATGTGTAGCAGAATCCCTTGCGGAGGGCGCTTGTCAAATATGTGGTGTGTTCTTGTTGTACAAGCAACCTCAGAACTCGTGAATGTCGAGAAGAGGATCATCCATCATTCGTAGATCTCCCGAGTTCAGTGGCTGACTCTAAGTCATCCCCTCACTCTCTCCTGATTTAGAAGAAAATTTAGAGGTTGGCAATGACGGCAGCACCACCGAAGAGGGCACCCATGGCAACGGCACCGGTCTTCATGGGAGCGGCAGGGTTGCTGGTAGCAGAGCTAGCAGCAGAACCGGCCTTGCTGGTGATGGAGCTGATGGCAGAGTTGGCACCGCTGGTGATGGAGGCAATGGCAGAGGTGATGGAATCACGGTCGGAGCCAGTGGCGGTGGAGAGCTGAGACTCGAGAGAAGAGAGGGAGTCGCCAGCCTTGCTAGTGACGGAAGCGACAGCAGAGTCGGCGCTGGTGGAGATGCTGTTGACCTGGGAGCTGACGGAGGAGCTGACGGAGGCAGCGTTAGAGCTCTGGGAAGCGAGAACAGAGGAGACGCTGCTAGAGGCGGAGCCAAGAGCCGAGGAAGCCGACTGGCCGAGAGAGGTCTGGGCCTGTTTTTGAGGTGGTTAGCAGCTGTGAATGGCATCCATCCATCTGGATCGAGAGGAACGTACAAGAGCCACAGGGGCGAAGACAGCGAGGACAGCGGAGAACTTCATTTTGATGGTTGGTTGGTTTTGTTGGTGATTATTGTTGTTGTTGTTGTTGTTGTTGTTGTTGTATGGTATTAAGCGAGCGTTGCTCTTGGGTATTTCGATGCGAAAAAAGGTGAAATGGGTATCTTTGAGTCGTTGGATTGTGGAACGTAAGAGAGAAGCAGAAAGAGAAGAAGGGACAAATACTTATATCGGAAAGGAGCAGGCCAAGACAAGGATGAGGGGCAAGGGTGAGTGCAAGGCAGGCTCTCAGCAGGGCAGTGGGCAGGTGTGGAAGCAGGCAGGGGCAGGGCAAGGCAAACAAACCTGACCTGACAACAGGACCTGAATCCTGGGAGCCGGCCCGTCACCACCACCACCTCCCGTTCACTCAGCTCTCTCTTTTTTTTTGTTCCAAGCAACAAGTGAGAGGGAATCCACACCCGTTATCGTCACTGCAGGTACGTACTGTGTGCACTTGCACGCAACCACGAGGCGAAACACGGTGACAAGACCTGGTGTGGCTGGGGATCCGGATTACCTACACTTGAGGTATTCCTTCTTGACGATCTCATGGGGACGAGGTACGAGTTTGTCTAACATTGGATCGCCTTGATATTGTGTTATTCAGATAGTGGCCGCAGTCCTTCTTTATCCATCACCATCGTCGATGCCTTCCCAGCCCTGGATTGACTGAATCCATCCTCTCCTTCGCACCTTCCCTTTCTCTCCAGGATGTGTCCTGCCACGGCCCGCTTCGAAAGGATGACGAGCGAATCAGCTGTGTTGTACAAGGCGAAATCCAAACCTGCATGGTGCGTGGCGGTCCAATTATGGCCGCCGGTTTGTGACCTCTCGTCCTCGCCCGTCGTCGTCGTTGCTGGGTCGACGTTACCGGGGCTGGCTGTGACTTGATGGGGATCCCGCATCAAATGATTCTCAACCGCCCAATTCATCCCAAGACCATCTGCTGCTTTGACTCTTTTGACGAGGAACCACGTTTGACGGGTCCCTACTCCCTACACTGCCCTGCAGATTGCAGTCAATGCTGGACCCCAAAACAGACAAGAAGTCATTGATGGCACTGCAAGGAATGGGCCAGACCTGGGCCGCAAGGTCAGCCATCTCGATGGCATTCCCTGAACCACCGCTCGGAGCTTGGCCTTGCTAGGCATTGAACCTTCCTGGACGTCGTCATGATTGCGCCAGAAACACCGAGAATTGTGGAGTGGTGCAACGAACCAGCCAACCATACTCCATCGTTACCACCCACGGTCATCCACACTGACCGCATACCCCTGTTGAGCCGCGCCTGCCCTCCATCCCGATCAAGTATGGGGAAACGCGGCTCCAGCCATCCACTCAAAGACCGGGAAATGCGGCACACGGGTTCCACGGCATGACGGTCTGGGGTGTGGCTGCAGTGAAGGCACTCTTGTCGACTCTTTTGGGTTCATGTCTTCATTCTTTCGCGCTGTTCACCATTGGCGAATCTCAATATTTGTCCGCTCGTGTTCAATCTGTTCCCCTTTATTGCTTGCCTGGGGACAGTAGTTTCGGTCACGTAAACGTTGGGTTGCACAACATGGCCGCCGACCTTTTTTTTTTTGCGGCGTCGAACTCTCACACCAGCCTCTCCCATCATTCGGCGGACGGCTCCTGTTCTTCAAAACTCCCATAGGATCTTTTATCAAACTCGAGGACTCCGCCGCTCATCCTTTCAACGCTGAGATGGAGTTTTCAGAACAGAAATGCACGGAACCACCAAAAAAGCAATTGCAAGTCGGGAGGATTGTGTTTCAACCCCTTGCAGGTGAACATGAATCCACTGGTAGACCCTTGGACTTTGCCGGTCCCTGGGCCCAGTCAGTGCCCAGGCCCATCTGATGTGTCGGGTGAACTTTGAACGATGAACGGCCCTGGGAACGGGTTTCGTCCTTCATCACTCGGACCTCAACGAGATTTCACATCGGCTCGCACATCATTCATGACACTTGCCCAGGAAGAACGGTCGCAAGAAAGAGACTACAGATGGGTGGTCAGGGCTCGCTTCTGTTGTTCCTTTGTGAGGGTGGACGTCAACGACTCAGAAATCAGGGAGTCTTCCAACTTTTGATCTTCAACGTCTTTCTTCCTTTTTACGGTATTCCCATCCAGACCATTCCCGGCCCGTGGTCCCAGTCCGTCTCGGAGGAGTTCATCAAAAACGGCTTCCGCGCCCGCGACGTGCGCTAGGCGCAAACCCGGCTAGTGTCGCTAGTGGACCAGCATCGGTGGGCAATTCTCGCGGATTCTATCCATTCGATGACATCATTCATCATTGTGCCCCCGCTGTTTGCTTGGCTGATGCAGTCCAAGAAAAGAGACGACTCAGCCGAAGAAGGACGAGGCAAAGCGAGTGCTTCAGTCAATCCGAGCGAGCTTCGGCATTGAATCCGAAGTCATCGTTTTGCTCCATTCTGACATTTCTTTCGCTGTTTGCTTTTTTCCCTCTTTCGTTCGTTGCCTCAGACCGGCCAGCTGCCAGTCGACAGCTGCCAGTCACATGCAAGCCACGAAGCATGGCCGCTCGACAGACACTCATCAGTCTCACAGTCGGATCAACAGCACCATATGGCATGGTCTCAGCTTGAACCCCCAATACAAACAGTTTGAACTCGGTGATACGGTGAGCAGTCTGTCAAATTCCCGAATGCTTTCTCTAAAAGCAGAACCTGGAGACACCCCAAGATCCTCCGGACCCTCTGAAGTCTCCAGACACTCCCATGGTTTCTCATACCGAATTTCGGGGTTCTTTGTTCCACTTGGAATGGCTCTTTTTTCCCCTCCCGTAACGGTCTCACAAGCAAAGTTTCAAGGATCCATCCCCTTACAGGCGCCACTCTCAAATAAAGCATCACATATTTCCAAGTGGTTGGGCGTACACAACAAGCTTATCTAAAGCCTGTCGGTTAACCAGGTTTGCACGAAGTGTCACCAAAAGTTGTAAGTGTATCACGTTGCACCTCGTGAAAAGAATGGAGAGCACTCGGGTGATTTACACATTGAACCCTGTGCCACAGGCCGAAGAAGGTGCACACATGTGGCTGATTATGAGGCTGTGCTCTGCCGAGCCCCCCGATCCATTCCTCTTGTCCAAACAAAAGTCAAAGAAAGACTGAAACCCGCGTCACCGTTATTTTTGGCAAAGCGCAAGTGGCACATGTGGTTCGTCAGTCACAGTGGCTCAGTCGCTGTTCATTCTGTCTGGTTGAGAGTCTTTCAATCCATGTGTTCATCAGGCTCCTCAGCGTGTGGGTGCTCGAAGGAAAAGATAAACGGTCGATCACGGAATGGCAATTGGATAACACCACTGCACCAGAAAGCACGAAAATGCGAGGTGTTGACGATCATCAGCTGTCTGATGCTTTTTGCCTTCGCTCTGATTGATGGAGATAAAAAAAATCTAAACCAAAACTCGTGGCTGCTCGCTCCCACTCGTGGCTTTGCATGCAGAAAGAAAGCATTCCATATGTACAACCGGTAGTGTAGATCTCAGCAGACCGGAAAGGCTTAGTCAAAGGTGTTCCGATAGAAGAGCCAAGCAAGCAATAACCTTTAGCCTGACCAGTACATACGTAATGAAGTTACACTCCCAGACCCTCGGGCCGGCAAGCTAACCCGCTCCATAACGGTACCACAGCACAGTTGAGCCGCAAAATCCCAAGAGCAAGAGGCCTCCTCTCAGCAAGGCTTGTGGGAGTGAGTGAGACCGGCTACACCTCCCGGTAAGGCGAAATCCCCTTCTTGAGCTCGTTGACGATCTCCGCCGCATACTCCGCACTGCTAGTCTGGAAGTCATACCGCTTGCTTTCCGTAGCTTTGTACACCACGAGCTGTTGACACAAAAAAACGTTAGCGATATACTACCCACGAAACTTTTCTCATCAACCAGACACAACAGCGAAAAAGTAACAGCAAGCAAAACATAAAGAGTAAAAAGAAAACAATAACAAACATACCTTAAAGTTATTAGGATGCTTTCTCGAAACCTTGCACCCAACTACATTGCTGAAATGCACCGTCGTCGCCTTCCCATCCACAATCTCTCCGGGGTTCTTGCCGCCCGCCGAAGGCATGATGTGGATGTACTCGCCGTCGATGACAAAGATCTTTTCCGAAAGCAGCCGCATCGGCTGTTTTCTCCAGACCGTGTACTTCTTGACCGCCGTCGCGCCGATGCCCAGCTCGTCCTGCTTGAGGATCTCCTTGGCCAGCGGGTGCACGCCCATGATCCCGCGGCCCTTTTTGGTTTTGGTCGTCCACGTGGACGAGTTATCTGCGAAAAGGGGCGGGCGGGGGGACGAAGAGCTGGGGGAGCCGGTCATGGTTAGGGGACCGTCGGTGGCGAAGCGGCGCCTGTGCAGGTCCAACTCGGTTACGTTGTTGAGCGAGGCGACGGTGCGGTCGAGGGGGACAAGGGTTCCCGATTGTGGCAGCTTGAGCACGTGGTTGGCCTTGTCAAGCTGCCGCTTGCGGCACGCCGTGTCGAGCACGTCGGCCAGCCAGGTCTCCGTGGTCACGTCGAGAGTGATCATTTGTCCAGCTGGTACGTCGGAGGAGTGGATGTGGATGCGCAGGAGACGCTTCTCGCCCCGCGAGGTGCTCTGCGTCGGCTGGACCGGTTGCGGCATGTCGGCGTACATGGTCACGCCGGGCCGGTAGGTGGTGTTGAGGAGCGGGTTGCCTCGGGGTTCAGCGGCGGGCAGGAGGTGGGGGTTGTCTGGTCGGGGAGTGCCGCGCGGTGTTAGATCCTTGTCCTCTTCCTCCTCGATGGCGGCGCCGGCTTGTTCTTGCTCGAATTGTGGGGTGAGTCTTTGGTTTTCCTCGAATTCATCTTCGGATGCCTTGGAGAGGGCGAAGATGTCGTAGACTTTGGAGTTGGAGCGTGACCGTCCGGCTTTGTTGTTAGCCGTAGTAAAGGAGGTGAGCTGCTTCTTCCGCTCTAGGGGCGGGAAGTCATCATCCACTTCGCCGTCTTCTTCCACCATGCGGAGCGTCCACCAGTTGACGTTGAGCCTGTCGCTTGGGAGTGATGGCTCAAGCTTCTCTTCATTGTAGCGCCATAAACTCAGACCGATGAGATCGGCAACAGTTACGGGCCTGTCCACCATGCCTTCACCCTCATGGACGGTCCGGCGAATAAGCACCTCGAAAGGCTTCGAAGGACTCTTGGAGAAGGGGGCGTAGATCCTAAGCATAATCGGGTTCGGGTCACCCTGTCCTGACAGAGAGGCGAAACGATCGAACGGAAGTGCCGGTTTTGTCTTCTTGGCCTTCAGTGCCGCGGAGAGCAAACTCTTGGGTTGAATCACACTGATCGGTCGGATCGTGCTCAAGGGTCGTGGAGGTGGAAGCTTCCCAATCAGTAGAGATGACGGAGGTGGCATGGCCGACTTGCGTATCATGGTTGACCTCCTCGTATACTCTCGTGGAGGTGTGCCGACCACTTGATGCTGAGGCGATGCATTCATGGGGTTCTTGATGGCGTCCAGGATGGATGCTGAGTCGATACTTTCGACAAAGGCTTCGGATATGTCCGAAGCGTCCGAGTCATCGTCGTCCTCTTCGTCCTCGAGTAGATCGCTTGCTTCTCGCTTGATGCCCATGGAAGGATCTGTGTTCAGCTTGGCCGATAGCTTAGCTGCTCGGGCGGCCGCAGCTTGAGCAGCCTCTCTCGCCCGGTGGAAGCCAGATGCGTCAAACTCGTGGTCTGATGAGACCTCGCTACTTGTTACAGTATCGCTCCTTGCTCTCTCCTTAACCGTCTCCAATGCGGACTGAGAGCCTCTTCTGACTGCTGGTTTTGGTGGTGACATGGTTATTGTCTGGCGCAGGCTGGACGACTGGATAGGTGAAGAGCCAGATCGATTGCGCAAGGGCATCTTTGCAAACTTGATCTGCTGAGCAGCTCGGTGGTCTTGTTCATCGTCGCTCTCGTCGCTGAGGTCGCTGCTGTCGTCTTCCTCCTCCATTTGCTCCCTCCTCCTGCGGCGCTTTGCGGCTACACTAGGACCCAGCGGAATGCCCCCGCCCGGAAATAAGTTCTCTTCCTCCCCTTCATCTTCAAGCGGTAGCGCAGCTACTCGTGGAGCCTGAAAGTATTCGGAAGCGATGGCGGTAGGTATAGGAGGAGAGTGGGTTCGCTTGATGAGGGCGGGATTCGGACGCCAGCCGGTGGACTTGAAGGGCGCCGAGTTGAGGAAGCCTTCATTCAATGTGAATAGCCGTTCTCCTACGCCGTCGGCAACCTCATTCAGATAGCCGGTACGGAGCTGGTAGGAAACCAGACTGCAGAAAGCGGATCAGCACGATTGGACCAACACGGGCGAAGCCTTTCCACACCGGTCATGGGAGAACCCAGCAGCACACATACTCTTCCACCTGGATCACGGACATGGCTGATGTCGGGACATATAATAAGAAGAGATGGGGGTAATCGAAGGTCCAATCGCAGTCACCGGCAAGCAGGCTATATCAAGAGGCGCCGGAATGGGGTCGCAACCGGAATCCGACCACCATCCAGATGCGATTGTGATGGCGAGATAGTATCTTTCAAGCCCTTGATGTTCAGTTGTTATACACGAAGTGGGTGTGTGAAGACGGATTGGCGACGGGGTTCGGCTTCGGCTTCGCGATAAGGTAGCGGCGGGCGAGTCCAGCTCGTAAGTAGTGTAGAGGACGAGGTTGTTGTGTAAGGGATGATGACGGGACACAGGGGAGTTCGTTGTCGCCGCGCTTGTTTCGAGGTAGGGGATTCGTACAACTGTCGTCCTGATCGCTTTCCGTCTGCCCTGTCTAGCCTTGTGTCGTGTGACAAAGTTGTATGCGGTGTTCGGTTGTCGAATGGTGATGTGTCGCAGGGTGTTCTAGCGAGGTCGATGTTTCTAGGGAGTCCCTGGAGCCACTGCATTCCCGTCGGGGGGAGATCAGCGCCCGCCGGCCGTTTCACACGCGGGCACAAAGCTCCCCTTATCTTATCAGCTGTCGGGCTCATTGCTGGTGGGCGAGGTGGGGTATCAAATGCTGGGGAAACGGGCCAGGCCCAGCTGGAGACTCTTTCTCCAATTGCGCTGCATCAATGACGACCCCTGGACGTTGCTGCCAAGACACGGCCCTGTGAACGTCTGAACGCCGTGAAAGTTGACGTCGCGTCGCATTTCTGTCTCTTTACACCATCAACCACCCGATTACCAACAACCGAAACCACACCGAAATCGATCAATATGGGCCTGGTAGACTATGGTTCCGACTCGGACTCGGACTCCGAACCCGTTCAGCAGCCGGTAGCGCCCACACCCGCACCCGCCGCGGCTTCCTCGACCACCACCAAGAAACCGTTCCAAAAGCTCATCGATCGCTCCGGCTCTGGTTCTGGCAAAATCATCGTCAACCTAGGCAGCGCAGGCACAGGCCCCGAGCCAAACCCGGCCGAAGACGAACCGCCAGCAAAACGGGCAAAGACAGCTGGACCAGGAGCCAGTCGCTTTAGCAGTTTCGGTTCTTTTCTACCAGCACCCAAGAAAACGGCACCCGCAGCAAGCACTGCCTCTATATCAGCGTCGACGGACAACACCAGCAACAGGCCTAAGCCAGTTGTGAATTTCAAGACTGGCGCAGAACCTGCTTTCTCCAGGACCAGCAACGATGATGGGGACGATGGATATGGAGCTTCAGAATCGACGTCAGGGTCCGGTTTTTCCTCCGGACTCAACCTACCCGCACCAAAGAAAGGGCCATCACTACCAGAAGGACAGAAGGCAGAGGAGGACGTGAAGCTGGTTGGAAAGCCGCTCATGTTTAAGCCACTTTCTGTGGCAAGGAAGCCCCAGAAAAAGAAGACTGTGGCACCCAAAGCACCAGCTGTCCAGAGTGTTGGGGACAAGGCGTCAACAACGACACCAGGCCCATCGGCACAAGACCCTACAACACCAGCACAACCGGCAGCTCCGAAAAGGAAACAAGTCTCGCTCTTCTCCATGGAGGAGGAGGAAACCACCTCTACAACAGCAGCAGCAACAGCAGTCACTGGCGCCTACGAGCCCCTATTTACCGCCCCAGATCCTTCCGCCAGCTACGAACACCATGACAACGACGTGACAGGCGACTACGATTCTTACACCGCCCCTAGCTATAGCTCGGCACCTAGCAATGCTTCCCACCAGCAGTCCCTCAGCTCCATAGCCGACGATCTCTCTCTGAACAAAACAGCGCGCAGAGAGCTCTTTGGGCGGCAACGTGGAGGCAAGAATAAGGATGCCTTTGAGATTCCAGAAGGCGCCAAGGTTGTAAACTTCAACATGGAGCAGGAGTACGAGCACAACAACGCGCTGAGAGCCTCGGGCGAGCAGGTGTACAATCCAGTCCGAGCCATTGCGCCGGGCAAGCACAGTCTCAGACAGATGGTCAATATGGCGCAGAGCAATGTGTCTGCGTTGGAGGATAGTTGGGCTCAGGCAAGAAATAACCGGAAGGACGCTGCGGGGAAGTATGGGTGGAAGTGAGGCGAGCGTTGTGTGTGTTTCGGTTATTCGATTATGATTTTGCATGGATGTCACATCATGAAGAGGGTCAACAGATTGATACCCATGGATACGTATAGCAACACTTTGCCCTTTCAGACAGCTTAGGCGGAATGGTCCTGCATTCGAAATGACAACAAGCAATGAAGCTATCGCAGTACTAGACCCAAAAAAAACTCCTAACGCCATGCCTTGTAACTGTGTCCTATCATAAGTGAATCATCATGAGCTCTTCCGTGTATCATTCCACAGCTTGTCGACAATCTGGAAGATCGCCGTCACATCCCTCATGATCATAGCATCGGCATCTCCTCCCAATCGCTGCTGCATCTTATCCGGATGCCAGCGTACTCTCTCGTCCTTCAGCCTTGCCGCAAACTCCTTCTCCCCCAACTCCTCCAGCCCTATCCCATGCACAAAGAACGCCCTGACCGTCTCCGGATCCATCTCCTCAATCTTCCCACCCACAGCCACCTCCCTATTCACAGGCCAAGGAATCTTGTTCGCGTCGAATTTCTTCCCACCTTCTGTAGCAGCAGCAGCAACAGCCAATTCCTGCCACGCCTTGAGATACTCCTCCCACCTATCCTTCCACACCCTCCTCTTCCTCCTCTCCTCGCCCCTCTTCAAGCTCCGCTCCATCTCCTTGGCGATCCTCCGCTCCTCCTCTTCTCTCCTCCGTTCTTCCTCCTTCCGCTTCTGTCTCCGCTCTCGCTCCTCCAGCAAGCCCTGGTGCGTCTTCTCCCACATCCGCTGTCGGACATACGCGGCGTACTCCTCGTCCGTCATCCGCTCGAGCTCGCCCTCAGGGTTGACCCGCTCCCGCGCGGATGAGTACACGTGGATCGGTTGCCCGTAGACGCCTTCCCAGTAGGCGGCGCCTTCGTCGTCGGCCATGGCGTCGAAGAGGGACTCGCGGAAGGCGGCTTCGGGGTCCAGTGGGGGTTCGGCGAAGGGGTCTTCCTCTTCGGGATCGGGCTGTTGTTGTTGTTGTGGAGCGGGAGTGGGTGTGGGTGAGCGATGGCGACGGTGCCGCCGGTGGTGGTGACGATGTCGGTGTTTGCGACGGGGTTCGCCGTCTTTAGGCTCTGTATCCCGGTCCCGGTCCCGTTTCTGGTTGCGGTTTTTTGCTCCTATCTCTTGATCTCCTCCGCTCTCTTTCCCGATCGTCACCGTTATCCTCCTCGGAGCGATGCCGGCGACTACGGTGTCGGTCTGGTCTAGGCGAGCGTGACCGTGATCCCGTCAGTGACTGCGACCGTGACCGTGATCGTCTCCTCCTCCTCCGTGACTCCCTATCCTTGTCTTTGAACCGGAACTTGGTCACCTTGGGCTTCTTCTCCCTCTTCCTCCTTCCTTCGGAATCCCGATCCTGGTCCTGGTCCCCATCATCATACCTATCCCTATCCCTATCCCTTTTGCGTTCACGTTCACGCTCACCTTCCCCATCCTGATCCCCACCAACGACATCCTCCCCAACCCCAGTCCTGGAAATACCGCGGTCATGACTGACACCCCTATCCGTCCTGCTGCTGCCCTTTGAGGCTTCAGCCACTAGTGAAGTTGACCGTGACCGGCCCCTGTCCAGCTCCGGTTCCCGTGAGCGGTGGCGGTGCTTGCTCCTACTACCACCATCCCCACCCCCACCAACAGCCCTTGCATTGCTACCGCCTAAGGCCTCAGAAGCATCGCTTTTTGTTGCGGGTGCAACAGGCGCAGCAAAAGGAACAGGGTTGTATGAAGCCAAGATTCTTCGCCGTTTGGGGGATCGTGGCGGTGAGTTGAATCCGTCAAAGGACATTGTGGTCTGTTTTTTTGTTTTTTTTTGCTTTTCTATCGTTCGTTGTTGTTGGCACAAGGGAGAGATTTCCAGTGGATTCCAGAACCCCCTTGAAGGATGGGGATTTCGTCTGCCTGTGCCCTGTGGTCTGTAACGACCCAGAGTTCCTAGACGGGGGTCCTTGCTCAAGACCTCAAGCGCGCACTTGCGACGACGAGATAGTGTGTGAAGAGGTTCGCGTCAAGCTCGGGTTACTGGATTTCGATGCCCCCGGTGCCGTAGATCCGTGACTTGTTCCGTAAGTTGGTTGACTGTGGTGTGCGGTGAGCCTGGTGAGGATGGTGAGGTGGTGAGGTCGACGCTGGTGAATGCCTGTGATCAGATGCTTGGTTGTTTTTGTTGGTCGGTGCCACTGCCTGTGATGCAATCCAGGACAGCATGTAAATACAGAAGCGAGCTGCTACTTACTAGGGACTAACGGCAACAGTGTCGAAAACAGTGCACAACGCCCCAAAGCCTGTAACTTTGCGTTTTCGGCGCAGCGCGTATCACGTTACAATACGACGGTACCGTAACTTTCAACACTGTTTTTTAGCGTTTCTGCTCGCACGTGGGAAGTCATTGGGGGTTAGGGTCCAACCTGCCAACCTTTAGCGCGACAGCCCCCACCCTCCATCCCATGTGCTTTCCCAAGTCGTCCCCCAAAAACCCACACCACCATCATCGCCGCTTCCATGGCCATGGAACAGCAATAGGTAGGTACCTAACCACCCTGACCTCCCCCCTCGCTCGCTGGGTTCATGTCATGAGATTCTTTCTCCGCAACAACTCGGCTGCTTCCGCTGGCGAAGTTCTTTAGCCAATTTCGCATTCCTTCGCAATTCCCACTGGAGTCGCATCAGATGCCCGACAGTAACAATTCGACCACGCCAATACTGTACTGACGAGGATCTCTTTCCATTTCACGCTAAAGAGAGTACACCGTCCTGAAACTGTGTTGATGTCGAGGTACCTCTACAACCGCGGTCAGCGTCGACAGTCCGAGACATCCATCCCACTCCGAAGGGAAATTCTTCGAGGCCGAGAACAATCCGTCAAGACATTGATTGGGCTTTGAAGGCCATTGATGCCCAATCGTATCGTCGTTTCCTCCTCCGAGCTCCCTAGCATCATCTCCAATCTCCATCTCGGTCTCGGATGTCGGGTCCATCTTCACCATCCAGGGTGCTTGTCGTCGGCCGACTGTGAGACTGTTCTCGATCGCACTTTTCTCCCGAAGTGAGACATATCGTATGAGTGGTACTTATCAGTAGCAGAGAAGCATCAAGTAGCAACGACAACTGACAAGTGAGTTTTTGCCAAGTTCGCAAAAGAAAAGTAAAAGAAAAGCAATTGGTTGCATTCTTTTAGTGAGAAAAGACCGACGCACATCGCTGAGTGCACGCACGCACTGTTCATGCCTTTTGCATATCGGGACCGTTACATCGCTGAGCCTTGCACTAATTAAATGTTGAATGATAGGTAACAACAAGACGTCAACTTGTCACCTACGAAATGCACACTGCAACTGCAGGTTTGATATATCTACTGTCACTATTCAGGCGGCTACCCAGGATAGGGGTCTCATTAGGAAAAACAAAACAAAAGTACCGCCGGCAAAATCCCGGATCTTCATGCTCATCCTCATCTTCTCATGTTGGCTTCACCTCCGTAGGTAACCCCTTCCAGAAACACATGCAGCTCGTTTCAATGCGTCCCTGAGGCAAAGTGTTTGAAGTGAGGCTTTCGTGGTGTGCAAGGACAATGTGAGGGCGCGCTTCCTTAGCTTCCGCGTCTCCAATTCAGGAAGATGACGGAGACCGGGACCGGGACCAGGACGAGGGTCCTTTTCCAAGGTGGCACAGCTACTAGATGTTTGGTTGTGACTTGGGTACATCCGATACCTTGGTCGGTCGCGGAAAGTTCCCGAGACGAATGAGCTGCAGTGTGCATGAAGTGCCATAGGGGACAAATGCATGTAAGTCTCGCAAGCGCTTATCCCAACCACACCTCATTGCGTGTTGCGGGACAAGCGCTTGGGGCGGCGCGCGGAGCGCCCGCCATGCCCATGCCATGGATGCAAGAATTCCCGTGATGATGGTGATGGTGATTGATGGTGGTGGTGTGGAGATGAAGGCTAGAAAGGGTACGTATTCGCAAACCTTTGGAATCCGAGGGGATGGGCGAGAGAGTGGAAGCCCGTGATCTTCCGGTTACTCCTCGGAAAAGCCTCGGATTATTACCACTCAGGATACTGATAGTGGTGGTAGAAACATCACTACCAGAAAGTACAGATGAAAAAGGCCGTTGCACAGATTTCTGGTTAACAACTAGGTACCACTTGTCACAGGTATAACGCTGGGAACGCTCTGCGACAACACTCGTCTTTATTCCCACCACTCCACCTCCCGGGAGTCCGCCTCACTGCCCAACCTTTCTTCTTCCTAGGTATGTAATATCGTTGGTTATTCAACCCGTGCGAGCTGTTAGCCTTCTTTCTCCCTTCCCCTGGCTGCCTAATTACTTAGCGGTAGATCATCATGCACGTAAGGATTAAGTAGTCACGTCAAGGCCTCGCGGCTGGAGCCCGCTGGACTAGGTACTGCAGTCAGCTTGATCATCACCACCGCCAGTCATTCCGTCCCTTTCCGCTTGCTATGCTAGCTTGCTTCACTTCATTGCAGCTTTGCCTTTGTACATGCACAGTACCCGTATGCGCATATCCTCAGCTTCCATCACCAACAGTGAAGACGAGGATCTCACATACAAAAAGCATGGAAATCAGTCAGTCAAAACCTTGCGCCACACACCACGACACTGTTGGATGGACGGTCATCTTCACTGCCTCAGTGAGCGTTGTTATTTTGTTGCTTTACTTAGCAACAGTGTGGGAGCCTTCTTCGTCTTTTTTTTTTTTTTTTTTTTTTTTGGGTGGTAATTACGAATCATACAGCCTTTGGTTGAACATGTAGCCTAGACCAAAAAATCTAGAATCTGATTTTGCAGGAAAGACTCTGAAGACGTTTCGAGAAGTCGTTCAAAAGAATGTATGAAAAGTAAGTAGTGACCAGAAAACAACCCAAGAAACTATAGGTAACATTTCCATTCATCAGAACACCAGCCAGTGAAGTGATCTTCGAAGCGCATGCATACCTTCGTTCGATCTCGAAAGATCTACAGTATTGATTTTTCCTCCTTTCTTTGATGAATGACTAAAAACTGACTCGCGAACAAAATGTCGGGTGCTTCTCCCATTCCCATTCTTGTCTCATTTCCATGGTTCTTCCAAGCCATCAACGCCATCACTGCAGTTTCAGTTCCGAAGTGTGTCTTCTTCTCTCTCTTCTTCTTCTCTCTTCTTCTCTCTCTTCTTCTTCTCTCTTCTTCTTCTCTCTACTCTTTTCTTTCTTTTTCTCTTCACTTTTTTTACGGTATTCGCACTGTCTCACTTCATTTCCCAACTTCTTCTTTCAGTCCCACTTCATTGCCCAACGCAGTCCAACAGAGTCCTAATCGAGCCCATATCAATGTTACCAACTCGGCCAAATTCAGTCGTCCTCAGTTAAATCCACCGTCGCATCGAAGGTTTAGAAGAGACGAGATTTTTCTT